ATTTTGAGCATAGTCGAAACATCTGGGAGTAGGTACTTTATAGGGTGTCGTTTTTTTACTTGAAGAAATATCTGTTATTTATGATTGGAGAAGAAAATTCTTTAAATAAAAGTTGTTTGGGATATCCGTCTCTATAATTTTTGTCCTATACGTGATTTCTCTAAAATGCACTGTAATAAAAAAAATTGAGGAAGAGTATAAAATTTTAATTTTTCAGTATTTTCGTAGGCAATGAATATAATATATAAAAAATGTTACAAAATGTGTGTGAAAAATGTGTGTATTTAGTTCCTCTATTAACCGGAAAAACTCCGTAATAACTATAGACAGGAAAGTCATGTTTTTTTTTGAGAAATCAGTTTTGAAAAAAATTTGTCAGCATCCAAAAATAACTAGTTTCTATAGTAAATGTAAACCAGTATTTTTTGACAAAAATGTAATCAAAAACAATATACCTATTTTGTTTAGAAAAATGCAGTATATGTACCTAGGTATAATAGTCAATTGACATTAAAAAAATGTTCTACGTAAATAAACAAGCCGTAACACCCCAAAAAATTGTTTACTTTACATAAAATATCAAAATAATTAAAAAAATACTTAATCGAACTCACATAAAAAATAAATTATTGCATGTCGCTTAAAACGAAAACAAAGATAGAGCATCCGCCTGGTATTCGCAAATCGAAATTACTACGCTTCAATCAAGAAGTAGGTCTAGGTACTTTTCAACATTCGCGATAAAAAATAGTTCCAACTTGGATAACCATATTTTTGAATTTGGACTATAATCCGCAATTTTTTTTTATTTTCAAAAAAATCATGAAATACCTAACTGTAGTTTAATTTAAAACATATGTCAAACAATTTTGAGACACTAAAATGATAATATGTCATCATTTTGTCCGAGTTGCAACATTCGATGCATATTGACTAAATTAACGCTGTATAAAACACGATTATCAAAAAACTCAACCTAACTGCTTTTTACCTGGCAGTCGTGTATTATAATCTGTCGCAAGCAAAAGGTATTGACAATTTACGAAAAAAAATGATGTAAAAATAAATCTAGGTATTTAGGGCTAAAATCTTTATCAAATATTTTGTTTCAATATCAAAATTAATGCCTAATGAACTCACCTTAAGTAGGAAAAATAATTTTTCGTATATTTAGCACGTATGAAGATAAATAACTGTTTTTTTAATGTTTCTTAGAAAGCGTTCACTTATAAGTACACTTTATATAACCACCATCTTTTAATGCAAGTAATTTCTTGATTGGTTGTGTCAAGCCTTGGTTTTTTTGAACACTCCATCGCGGTGAGCGGACAGTCCGTCGACCGTCGCCTTTTGACGATATTATCAAACCAGAGTATTTAAATGGGAACGGTTTTCTTAAATCCGCTTAGCTGAGCAGGACTGCGTCATGCCATGCCACTGATTTGTCGCGACTAGTCGGTTCAGTGTTGCCAGAATATATTTTTGACGAACCAGATTTGTCGGGGAAATGTACTAGATTCCATAAAAATTAACCAGATTCTATAAATTGTACCATATTTTTCAAATTGTAATGGTCTGGTTCAGAAGAGCAAAAGAAAGCTTTTATCGGAAACGAACACAAACAAGGAAGAACCCAACCATACATTATTTTACCCTTCAAATGGAAACTGGCTTAAAGGCTGTATGTCACGATACTAAATTAAGTACTAAACTTAGCACTAAATTAAGTCATTAATTTAGTACTAAATTTAGAACTAAAAATATTTTTTTCCGTTTGCAACGATACCAATTTTTAGTACTAAATTAACTATAGGCGCACGCGTATTGACGTATTAATACGTGAAATAAGCAGAGAAATGAAATATTCTGGGTAAAATAGACAAGTGAAGTAAACGGTGTTTTTATTATCAATTTGATATGACAACAACCAAATACAGCAATGCTACTATAAACCACGAAAAAACACAATAAAATCTACAAAATCAAACAAGCGAACTTTATTCAAGTCGATAATGCAAAATTTTCGCTAATTAAAAACAAAATGGTACAGACAATACCGTCGTGTCAATTTTTTTGTGAAAAACTTCTGCGCAACATTTCGACGCACTTTTAGTACTAAATTTAGTAGAAAATAGAACAAGTTCTAATTAATTAATGACTTTTTTTAGTACTAAATTTAATACTAAATTTGCTGTTTGCAACGTAAATTTTTTTAGTACTTAAAAAATGCATTAATTTAGTTCTAAATTTAGTACTTAATTTAGCACTAAATTAAGTTCTAAATTTAGTACTTAATTTAGCACTAAATTAAGTTATTAATTTAGTACTAAATTTAGAACTAAAAATATTTTTTTTCCGTTTGCAACGATACCAATTTTTAGTACTAAATTTACTATAGGCGCACGCGCATTGCGTATTAATACGTGAAATTAGCAGAGAAATGAAATCTGTGTAAAACAGACAAGTGAAGTAAATGGTGTTTTTATTATCAATTTGATACTAGTTGACTTGACAACAACCAAATACAGCATAAAAACCACGAAAAAAACAATAAAACCTACAAAATCAAACAAGCGAACTTTATTCAAGGCGATAAGGTCAAATTGTCGCTAATTAAAAATAAAAGGGTACAGAAAATACCGTCGTGTCAACTTTTTCTATGAAAAACTTTTGCGCAACATTTCGGCGCACTTTTAGTACTAAATTCAGTATGAAAATAGAACAAGATCTAATTAATTAATGACTTTTTTTAGTACTAAATTTAGTACTAAATTTGCTGTTTGCTACGTGAATTTTTTTAGTACTTAAAAAATGCATTAATTTAGTTCTAAATTTAGTACTTAATTTAGTATCGTGACATACAGCCTTAAAAAAGTACAAGTACTAGATTTTGTTTCGAATGTACTAAAGTACCAGATTCTTAAATAATGTACTAGATCTAGTACAATTGTACTAGACTGGCAACACTGAGTCGGTTCATATCTGTCGAGTTTGATATCAGCGGAATCGTCGACACGTGCGGAGACAGTTTGTGAATTCAAATAATTTATTTATTATTTTTTAAACAATGAGTGAAAAAGTCACATATACATATGCCTTTTTGACTTTATTTGTAGGTTTTCTGTAAATTTCTTTCTTTATAAAATTCAACACGAATTCAAAAAGATCTGTAAAAAGTCTAAATACTCCCTAAATTTGGTTTCATTTCCAAAAAGCCTCCGCTGCACAGTGATATTAAAGGCACCTTCTGTATCGCGATACAAAAACAACTTATCCACTGGCGAATTGGAAACTTTAACGGTCGCAATTGCCAGTTCCTCTTCTTCCTCTTCCAACAATAATAACGCAACCAATTTTCGTTTCTACTCATACATAAACATCACATACAGACATAAAAAGTCTCATTTTCTATATTTAAACAAACCACCTCGGGCGAAAATCGCCTGTCATCAGCGGTCGACGGAGTGTCCGCTCACCGCGATGGAGTGTTCAAAGAAACCAAGGCTTCAGGTATTCGAAAATCAGATGACTTGATTCAAAAATTAGTATAAAGCAGTTTTTGCTCACTGCAAAAATATACCGAAATATGTAATGCATTCAAATCAAAGTCAAAGTTTTTACTGGATGTCCACTTTATATTTTAAGGAATAGTCAAATATATTTTTGTTTTTAATTTTGAATACAATAATAATTATACTTTATTCCTTTCGTACTATTTTTAAGTGTGGTAATTTAGATACTTTACCGCTAGTACATTGAATCAATCAGGACCATACCAAGGCACAGCTTTTTGGGGGAAAAAACTGAATTATTTTTTACGTATATTAAATGTAAAAAGTTTGAAGGGTAGGTAAATTTTGCCATCCTTGTTTGTATTTGGAACCAACTAACTGGGCTTTGGGGGGTGGAGGCCCCCTCCCTACACAGAATACAAGCAAAATATGCGTTCAGGAAATAACTATAAACTCAAGTTTCTCGAAAATCACGTGTTCAACATTAACGCTCACATCATAGAACAAATAAACTTGATCCTCTCATTTTGACAAATTAATTCATTTATTTCATTTTGACAAATTAGTTTATTTCATTTTGACAAATTAGTTTATATCATTTTGACATATTAATTTCACTTTGACAAATAATAAATAAAAGGTAAAATATTTTAACATTTTCTTTTTTTAAATAATTATTTCGCGGTTATTAGGGTGTAATTTTATTTATTGACATTCACAGCTGTCTCGATATCAATGAGAACAATATTGTCATAGAACAGATAAAACTTAATCCTGTCATTTTGACATATTCATATTAATTCCTGTCATTTTGACATATTCACTTCATTTTGACACATTCATTTCACTTTGACGAATAATAAAAAGTGAAATTTAACATTTTTTTTTAAATTAAATATGTAATTATTTCGTAGTTATTGAAGTTTAATTTTATTTATTAAAAATCATACATGTTTCCTTAACATTGAAAAAATATTGCCACAGAACAAATAAAACTTAATCCTGTCATTTTGACATATTAATTCATATCATTTTGACATATTCACTTCATTTTGACATATTCACTTCAATTTGACACATTCATTTTATTTTGACACATTTCACTTTATCGAACTTTTTTTTTAATTAAATAATTACGTGGTTATATTGGAGTTTAATTTTATTTATTAAAAATAATTACTTAGTAGCTTATATTTAATTTGTTTTAACCTAAGAATAAAGTAATCAATTTATCATATTTTTTAAAACTGTTATATGATTGGGCGTTGGTAGACGCCATCTTTTTTTGGATTCCGACCAGTGCCATCTTTCAGTTCTCTTGACAACCAGTTAGTGACGTCACAGTCGTTACAGTTCGGAAGCGGTGCTAGACGGCTCGTGCCGAGCAGCGAGCCCACGAAATAATCACGGACTAACGTATACAAAGCTGATTTGACGACGTTTCGTGTTCGTGTCGTGACAAAATTGTTTTCTAAAAGCAAACTATAGACTGAATCGGCTGCGGCTGTCCCGCGTCCCGCCATATTTCTGACTGCGTTAAATCTACATCATCGTGGTTCAATATCAACAAAATCGCATATTACGAACCTGGAAAGTTGACTTTTTTTTACAAATTTGTGTATATTGTGTTAGGTAACTCCAAGGAAAGTGAAAATTTAATAACAAAAAGTAATTACCTTCATATTTTGACATCAAATGACATCAGGGTGTCACTTTTGTTTGTAGAAATGTAAACTGTCGGAAAATATTTGAAGTGCATCGAAACCGCCTTTGAAAAATGGAAACAGGTAAACTTTTTTGATTTGTAAATAAGTTCCATGGTTATAATTAAGTTTAACTTTTAGAAACCCTCAGTAACTATGAACAAAAACATTTAGATAATACCATGGACGTAGATATTCCACAGGGTAATATTTTTAGTTATTTAACTTAACCTTAAAATGTGCTCATCTCTATTGTTTTAGAAGACGAATCTGCTTCGCCTGTAAATAAAACATACGAGGAGAACACAGAAAGTACAGGTAACGTTTAAGCTAAAGCCTCTTTTTACTAGTTTAATAATTATTTTAATTTTTAGATGTTCAGAATCAGGCCGAAAAAGAAGGTAAATAAAAATATTTAACTTTTTACAGATTAGTATTTATATTTACTACTTTGCCTTAAAAACACTAATTAATGATAACCTAAGAATTATTTTCAAGTTACCTTTTTTTTTCATAAAATGTACTAATAATATCTGGGGAGCAAAATTAATCGAACACCTTAATTTTCCTAAAATCTGGTGTTTAAAAAATTTCAAGCAGTTCCTTTTATTACAAATCAAGTATTTAACAAATAAAAAAATTGAAAAATCTGTAAACAAACATTGCATTTTTTCATTTTAAATATTGTTTAAAGAAAAACGATATTTAGTAGGGTGTTTTGCCTCCACGAGCCCTAACCATGGCTCTTATGCAATCAGGCATAATTCAGATTAAGATAGAAAATTCTAAGGATTTGTTCCCATTTTGTCACAAATTTACTCCAAATAATGAATGATTTGACACTATTATTGTTGTTCACAAAAATCTTCTAAACAGGTTCAAACAAGAAATAAAGATCCTTATGTTTCTTTATAGTATTTACATCACCTCTGTTTCTAGTTTGATGCAATAGTTCTGAATGGTTGTTTATTGGCTCTTATTACTTCCATTTTTTGTAGCAGTTGATTTGTAATCCAAATTTTATAGCAGCAAGGTGTTATTACACATTTTTGCATCCCTTTCACAGTGAATGGTAAATATTTTAACCATATGCTCAGGACTTCTAAATAACATTGGGTCAAATGTCATCTACTTGTGAGATACAGGGTGTTAAAGTTAATAATTTATTTTTCGTTTTTTTGCAACGTTTTTGTTATTATTTAAAGTATTGACTTAAAATTATTTCTTTTATTTAGCTAGTTTGCTAATATCACAATATACAAATTTACTATATATCTGTCGCTTATTTTATTTATATACTCTTGTACCTTGACTTGTTTTTTATGTATTATTCATATAAAAATAAAGATATATTATTATTATAGTAAAAATATACATATAGATACATATCAGTCAAAACATAGATAATTTAGATACAATTAAAACTAACTAAAATTATATAGGTTGTTACTGTTTCTGGAGAAATATTCATCAATTAAGAAATCTGTCACTTTGACTTTAAATGTAGTTACAGACGTTACTGATTTAATTTTCTCTGGAAGTGTGTTATATTAATTTAGACCTTTAAAAAATAGTGTTTGTGTTGCACTCTTAACAACTGTTTTAATATACAAGTTATGTCTGTTCCATGTTGGATAATTGTGCACATTATAATGATAATTACGCTTCTCTTTTAGGTACATTGGAAGTAACCCCTGTTTGATTTTATAAATAAAAATTAACACATTCCATAATAAGAGACTTTTGATTGGCATCCACCTCAAAGTTTCAAGCATTAGATTAATGGAAGTATATTTTGAACAGGATAATATTATTTGCATTGCCCTATTCTGTAGCTTCTGTAGTCGGTTCAACTCATTTTGATTTAGTAAAAAGAGTATTGTAGAGCAATAATTAAAGTGAGGTAGAATTATAGTATTATATATAATACATTTAGTCCACTGTGATAAGCCAAATGGACTTCTAAATAGGAAATTTAACTTAAATGCAATAGTTTTGATAACAGTGTTGGCATGATCTATGAATCTCATCTGCTTGTCAATCATTACCCCTAAGTATTTGAATTTTTTTACTAACTGTATAGAATTTCCCCCAATTCTTATGTTATATTGTTTATCAACAAACTGTGTATAGTTATAGTTGCTACTATCAGCATGCATTTTGTTTTATTTGTATTAATTTTCAACAAATTACTGCAACACCATTTATAAACATATTGCGGTGTTTCATTAACAACTCTTACCAAGTTATCTGAATCCTTACAAGAAAAATATATTGGGGCATTATCAGAAAACAGGTGAATGTCACATTGACCCTTGAAATCAACAATGTCATTGTAATACACTAAAAACAACAGGGGACCCAATATACTTCCCTGATAATTTCCTCTGACAAAATGTTATTTACTTTTAACGTTTATTTCCTCTTAAATAATCCACACACCACTCCAATGCTTGCTCTACTATACCCATACTTTTCAGTTTTTTTATCAAACAGTTTTGATCAACAGTCGCGAATGCCCTTTAAAGATATAAAAACTTCCAATGTTGGATAGTTTTTATCAAATTTATATTTCCAATCATATAAAACATACTGGATAGCTGATTCACAGTTATGTTTGCTTCTGAAGCCCGATTGTATTTTAGTAATAAGTTTATTTTGTTCTAAAAAATTAACAATTTGTTCATAAACGACGTTCTCAATGATTTTTTCGATACAACTTAACATACTAATAGGCCTTAAATCTGTAGCTTTATTTGCGTTTTTGTCTTTGGAACAGGCACTACCATAGCAATTTTTAGATCATTAGGTATTTTTGAAATTTCTAATGACAAATTTATCAAATTTAAAAATGGTTCTGAGAGGTTAGGAAAACAGTTTTTTAAAATATTAATGTTAATGTCATCTGTGCTACTTTTATTTTTCATTGCAAAAAGAATGTCTCTTCAAGAATCCACTGTACATAGTTAAAATTTTCCAAGAAAATGACCATTGTGTCTGTCTAAAATTTGATAATAATGATCAATCATACTAGCAATCGATTGGATACTGTATGTAAAATTTATTAAGAGCATTGGCATATCGAAAATATTTTTTATAATAACATTATTTTCTAGTTCAAGTTCAATTAAGTTATTCGACTTAATATTTTTTGGAATCAGACATTCAAGATATTTACACATTTCCTTTGAATTTCCCCTACTTTCGTATGTGTTTACTTTTTTGTGTTCTAATTACGTTAACGGCCCTATTTTTATGCATTTTGTAATAATTCCAATTATTTTCTGTTTTTTCTTGTGTTTAATTTTTATATGCAAGGTCTCTGTGCCTTGTGGCAGCTTTTACATTTTCATTCCACCATTTTTTGTATTTAGGAAATATTTTTATTTGTTTTTTTTTTGGCGCTACAGAATCTAATACGTTTAAAATTTTTGTCACAAAATTATCATATTTTTGCATTAATGTCATAAATATGATAGGTCCATGCTAATGTTGAAAGTTTGTTATTAATTAAATCAAAATTTAAGTCCTTACCTCTGCTTTCAATTTCTATTTAATAGCACATTTGTTAAAAGCATAAAATGATCTGAAATTCTTGGTGTTTTGATAACCTCAGCTGAAACCGAGTCATTATTTGTTATAACTAAATTTATTAGTGTACCTCCATCACTTCTATTTGGTCTTGTGCATTCTGTAACAATATTTTTTAATTCAGTATCAATCAAAATATCACTTAATTTCGCACTGTCTTTTTAGTTAACAGGCACAATATTAAAATCTCCAGAAACAATAACTATTTGAGAATTATCACATAAATTTTCTTCAGCTCAAGTGCTAAAACAATCTAAAAAATTTATACAACTACTGCTAGGTGACCTATATAAAGATACAATTAAAAAAAATTTGTTTCCTAATATTACCATCACAGAAACAATCCAACAAATTTTTGGAATACAATATTTAAAATATTTTAAAACCTTCAGTTCATTTTGTACATAAATTAAAACACTCTCTGTGTGTCTACTTTCACTGTCAACTCTATAATTTTTGTATCCGTCAATGTCTATTTCTGAATCATAAATATCCTCAAGCAAGTTTCAGAAACACATATCAAACTTTGGTATGGTTATATTTTTATGCTAGTAAATCATAATCATGTTATAATTTTAAGATTAGATAAAGAGGGCGCTACTTACATAATTATACAAAAAAATAAAATGTATTTTTACTTTTAAAATAATATCTAACTTAGCAGCAAGAGAACAAAAAGTTTTTTTTTCCAGTGCTCAAGCAAAATATTAATCTACATATAGAAAAAAACATTCTCGCCAAGTTTGAGCTCTTAATATTAATTTTAAGTACTTACTATTTAAATTTAAAGTTTTACCATTTAAAATGCATGTAAAAATTTGTATTTTTTTTTTAAATTTCTAATGCTTACCCACCTTTTACAATAATGCAAATCGGTGTGATGGACAATTTTTTTGAACAAACCGCCAAAAGTAGGGAAAAAAGGGCTGATTCATAAATAAAAAGTTATCCGACCAATATTTAATTAATTTAAAGCAATTTTTGTACCTGAAAACGTAAGAAATTCAGAAATACTAACTCATAATATTATTCAGAATAATTTTTTTAATTAATTACTATTATATTTCCCTACACTAAGAACTTTTTTAGAATTATTAAGATTTATCATTCATAATGAATATAATTTTGAAGAGTGTGAAATTCCCCACAAGGTCCATCAAACCGATTTGCAATATTGTAAAAGGTGGGTAAGCATTAGATATTAAAAAAAAATTACATGCATTTTAAATGGTAAAACTTTAAATTTAAATAGAAAGTACTTAAAATTGATATTAAAACCTCAACCTTGGTGAGAAATTTTTTTCTATATGTAGATTAACATTTTGCTTGAGAACCAAAAAAAAATTTTTTTGCGGAAATGAATCACCCTAATACATACCACACTATTGCCAGTGTATTTTCAAGTTTGGAGTAATTAACGTTTGGTTTTTCCCACTTGAAACCAAAGACTGCGCTTTGCATAACACCACAAGTTTTCACTTGCTCTTACATAGAGAAAAACGGCGATTTTTCATTCCAAATTACTTTAAAATTTCAATATAGAGCAAAATATGAATTAAAAATGTTGACGGGAATTAAAAACAGTTTAAATAATTGCAGTATAGTTTTGAAAATATTTTGATTTACTTTATTCAATAAATAATTCAATATGAATGCTAAAGTGTACTGGATTTTTTTATTATTACAAATTTCATGCTTGATTATGGATTTCCAAGTGATACAGAACATTTTATTAAAAAATTTTTTTTTACAAAATGTATGATAATTTTTTTTTCCATTTATAAAAGACTTTTTAAAACACTTTGTATAATGGATTGCGTTAAAAACAATGTATATTCGGGCATTGTTCTTAATGCACGCCGCAATCCATTATATAGGATGTCCTAAAAAGTTTTATTTAAATGGATAAAGGGTTATCTTACATTTCATAAAAAAAAATGATTCTTAATAAAATGTTTAACTTAAAAAATTAAAATTGCAAAATTTTTACTTTCAAATTTTTTAAAACCTGAAAAACCTGTATGTCATCTCAAGCCTTAATAATTATCAATTATTAACCAGTCTATACAATTTTTAATATTTCTGAACATAACTTTAGTATCTTGAATGATTCCATTAATTACTTTATGTAGAAAATATAGGACTAAAGTCTTTTAGTTATTAACCATGTAATCCTCAAAATATGGGATTAAAAATTCTGAAAATAAGCAGACTTTATAAAAAATATGTTGAAGAAGTGACATCTCGTATTGACACTTTTGACTTATATACATATAAAAATTTACAGAAATATTCATCATTTAGGAGTGATATCCATGTATAAGAAATAATTCTGTTTTTTTTTTAAATGTGATTTATTATATCTTACTAAACATAAAATTTCCTGTGTAAATGCAATAAAACATTAATTTAGATAAAAAAAATTGACTTAATAATTATTTGAATTAATATGACAATTATATAACCTAAGTAGGAAAAAGCAACTGTAGTGTTTCTTTAAAATTTTTAATACATTTTTTGTCTTCTGTAAGTTGGCTAATCAACATTAAGGTGTCACTTCTTCAGTGATGAACATTAAGGTGTCACTTCTTCAGTGATGAACATTAAGGTGTCACTTCTTCAGTGATGAACATTATTTAAGTTAATCAAATGACAAATACTGCTGATGACAAAATTTTTGACAACCAAAAATATTTCTGTACTACCTTTAACATTATATACATTCATCCTTATACAAATTTTATATCTATCGTGGGTAGGTAAAGGAGTACAAGTCACAAATTTAGAAGCTGAGTAAATCTATGTTATATGTCTTATAAGTCGACTTATACTGATTTTTCCACCAAAAGTCCATGTTCAATGGTTATACCCTAATAGAAAATATTGACTTATCCCACGTTTTACACTAAATATAGATGACAAACTAATTTACCTAAAATTTTGACTTATACTCCCTTGCCAATACACGATAGATATATTAAAATTACCCTCTTATTCTTTCATCTTATTTAACTTTTTTTCTAATATTTTATTCTTTATAAATCCTTAATGTTTTTTTCTCACTGCTCCAATATTTTATTTTTTGTTGTATCTTTGTTTCTAATTATCTCCTTAGTTTGTTATCTATTTTCCTTAATTTTTTTCTCAATTTCTTCTTTCATTCTTCAATTTTTGTTTTTCTTTATTGTTATTTCCTACTTTTTCTATTTGTTGCATCTATCTTTCTTTATTAGCTTCTTTTTCTTTAATTTCTATGTTCTCTTCTATTTCTCCCTTTTCTTCTTTGTCTTGTTACCCATTGCTTCTTCATTCTATTTAATCTGCTCCCCTATCTTCCTTTCCAATGCATTCATTTTCTTAATTATTTCCTCTTTATCCTCTTTTCTATTTTCATACAGTTCATTTCCCATTCTTTGCATTCCTTCCATTATCATTTGTAAAATATCATTCGATGGTATTTTGTGTTCTAATTTTTCTTTTACTTCATCATCTAAATCATTTATTTCCAACTGTACAAATCAGTAAGTCATTATTTAAGTCAGCATTGCAAATGGACAAAATAAAAATCCATTTTTTAAGATAATGTGACTTTAAAATACCATTATGTTTTGATGTGCTATTTTATTATAAAATTTATTAAATATTATATTAATTTGTATTTAGCAAAATTGTACTTTTTTTGTATAGATACTTAATATTGAATTTTTTATAGATAAAGAAAATGAAGTGGAGAAACCAGGAATAGAAATAGAAAGTGAAGAAGAATGCGAAGAAGAGGAAGAAGAAAAACTACTACTTAGTCCAGCACATTCAGATAAAGCCTATGATAGTGATGACGATCCATTAAGCCCACCATTAAACAGAGACTTGGAAGAAAGTGATAATGAAGGAGATAAGGAAGAAAAAGCAGAATCAAATGAAAAAGATAAAGAAGAGGTATCGGAAACAAGTAAAGAAGAAAAAGAGCAGGTACTAGAAACAGAAGAAGAAAAAGACGAGATAGTAGGAATTGATGAAGAAGAAAAAATAAATAGTGAAAACCTACAAAATAATTTGGATGACAAAAATAGTAAAGATGATGAAGATAATACAAAAGATAATAATAGAGATAAGGATGAAGAAAATATAGTAGAAGAGGAATCTATGGTAGAAAGTCAGGAAGACAAAAAGAGTGACAAACCTGGTGAAAATATTCAAACAGTTGATAGTAAAGATAGTGGAGATAAAGATCCTTTGGATAATGAAAACGATGATAAAAAACAAGATAAGGATAAAGATATAGATACTAATAATGACAAATTTTCGAATAAAGATGAACATAGTGAAGTTAAAGATCCTTTGGAAAATGAAAACATTCATAAAAAACAAGATCAAGATAAAGAGGTAGATACCAGTAATGACAAAGTTCCGAATAAAGATGAACAACTAAATAGTGAGGAATCGAAAGAAGAAACCCCAAACGATAAAAAACTTGAAAATAAAATTGACACAGAGGATAATAAAGAAGAAACTACCGATCTACCAAGTAAAGACGATACAAATAAAAAGGAAGGCAACGATGGGGTTGAGAAAAATGATCATTCTTTGTTAAAAGAAAGTTTAATTAAACCTTTTGATGATGGAAAGGAACCTGAAGGTATGATTTAAGTCTATTTAGAATATAGCTGTACCCATATATTTTTTGGTTTCGCTATTTTTTAAATTGTGATTTTATTGGTCATTGATCTAGTCAAAATTAGAACTGGGGGAATATAAAAAATAAATCGATTATTTTTGATTTGTCGATTTTTTTTCAATTAATCGATTATATGAATCGATTATTTTTGATTAATCAAGTGATTGAACATAATTATATTCAATTATTTTGCCTACCCTTATTTAAAATATAATAATTTGTGAATATGACCTTAGTAAAAGGTATTTAGTACTTTTAATCACTTAATTTAATAATTATCAATAAGTTAGTCACTTGTTTTTTATTTTTTACTTTCAGCTGATGAAGAAATGGACATGTATGACGATTTTGATCCTTCTCTTCTATGTCCAGAGCTTTCTATGGAAGTTGATGAAGCTCCTGTCATAACTACAAATGGTGAGTACATTTTTTTATTAGATTTTCCTAAAATGATTTGCAATTAATTAAATTTTGTTTATAAAAGTAACACAAAGTTTGTTAAATGGGAAAAAGTTGTATATTTTGAAGCCCAATCTGAGGACGTTTTGAAAACTAAAATATCAGTGGTGGTTCCCGAAATATTCGATAAAAAACAAATTATTTCTGTTGGAAATACATTCAACATATTGCGCTAATTCATAAGGCTAGCCCGGTCCCTGAGTACCAAACTAATTAATTCATAATCAATCTGGAAAATCTTCAACAATAGTGTAATAATCAAAGAAATGAAAAAGCTGACCCCGTATAATAAACAAATTAAAGGATAAGATAATTACGGTTCGTAATGCTCTTGTACATGCAAGCAGAAGTTGCCTTTCTAGATTTCGCACCAATGTGCATAAGGTCAATTAAATATAGAATGCTGTCATTTTGACATTAGTTTACCAGTTACATTATTAATTAAAATTGACAGTAGTTTGCTGTGTTTTGAAAAATTCTGCTTTTCTAAAATGGTTTCTAGACTTTTGTTTCATTAGTTTAAGACCTGCCCTGCCACATAAAATCTCAAAGTGTTACACATGACATAATATACAGAGTGATGTGTTTTAAAAAACCAAGGTGACTAATAATATCAGAAAAATGGTAAATCTGGCAACATTTCAAATCTAGAATCTTCGTATTCCAGAATAAGCTTATACAAAATTTTGTACAATTCGAAAGTACTGTCCTTCAAAGAGTGAAAAATGTGTTATTTAAAAATAATTTCCAGTCATTAGAAAAGGGCGTTTTCCAAATAATGATTATGGTATTTTTCAAAAATTAAGTATTACCAGCTCATTCGAAAATTAAAATATCATATACATTTTTATTTGCCAGGCAAAAAAGTAACATCCTTTCAAACATATTTTTTAATTTTGCCTTTTTCAAATCAATATAACTTTAATTTGAAACTTATTTACATATCTATAACACAAACACAGCAATTACTAATGGGACACCTTGTATAAATGAAATGGCTGCCAAAGGGAAAGGTTCGTATATCAAATGGGTTACAACATAGACCCAGAAAATTGATGAAGGGGTCACTGAGGCTAGGGGGAACAAGTAGTCAGTTTAAGTTGGAAACACCGTGAACATGTCTTTTTATTGAGTGTAGAGGAAAGGAAGACAAATTTATACAGTCATTTATCTCAAAAAGGGCCCCACAAAATGTATAAAATTAAGATTGCACTTGTGTACTAGAAGGGAAAGATCCAATGATATATAGTTATATAGATAGCTCACCTCATATGTAAATCGGACGACGAAAAGCAGTATTGTCGTCTATTATCAAACTTTATCTACGATTATAAGCTCAGTCGCGTTTCACGATGGCTTTTCATGATTTAGCTTTTATGCTATACCCTTCGAGCATATTTACTCTTACCTCTACACTCCATACACATCATTAGTGACTTGTGTGATCTGAATTGTTGGCGTCCCTCTGGTGCAGAAGCTCCATCTTAATTTTATAAATTTTGAGGAGCGCTTTTTGTATACAGATAGTTCTCCTTACCTCTACACTCCATATGTCGTTTCTAGATGTTCTCTTACTCAAATAATAATTACTATTCTTTTATTCAACACAATATAGAAATACATTAACTAACTGGAAAACAAATCTCGTCGTTCCTTATTGCGGCGTGTTCCCGCAATAAATCAATTTTCTATCTGCTCTTTTTTCTCCAACCTAACATTCTAGTCTTCTTTTTAATTAAATGACCTTTTACACTTCAGTTACTTAAGTGGCCTTCTACACATTTTTTAAAAAACCTCTTATACATTTTTCATAAATTGGCAGACTTGGCGACTACTATTTCGAATAAAAATATCGTCCAAGACGGAAGCCTATGTCGCAACCCCTAAGATATACGAACCCTGCCCTTCGACATATATTGTTTGACAGGTCCTTGGAACGCCTAATTTGATTGTGTCAGTGACAGTCTGAAATTTTTGATTACACTTGTCATTTCAGATGCTCCAGCTCCAGAAATTGATGGTAGCAAAAGTCCCTTGCGTTTGTATGATCCGATTTTCTCCACTTTTGTGGATGAAATGACAGGAGCAGAAGGTAAATTAAAAACATTTTGACATTTTTTATTCTGAATTTTTGTTTATATTTTCAGTCGATTTCAATTTGACAGCAGAAGAATTGGAACTCAAAGCAAAAACTTATGGACCCAGTAAGTCGTATTTTTTTTAATTAATTAATTAATTAATCTATTTAAAATAAAAGTGCCTGATGTAATGTGGTGCAAAAAATTTAAATATAACTCGTTTATTTAGTCAAAATAATTACTTTTACAGGACAATTTTAAATGCAATGTACACTCTTTACATTTAAAATAAAATAATTAGATATAAGTATATAGTAAACATACATTTAAAATAATTAAATAAATTCCACTTTACAAAACATTAAAAGAAGAAAAAAAATACACCATTTTCCGTTTCAAAATGGAGTAAATATTTTTTTTTTTTTTTTTACAGAAAACCCCATCCAGTTCACCAAAATTCACTGCACTGCTTGCAATGTGCATCTTGGTAGCGCTTTGGACGGTCAAGGCAACAGATTCGTCCACCCTCTTTTGAAGGTGCTCATTTGTAAAAAGTGTTACCACTTTTACACGAGCGGCGAATTCGAGAAAGATGAAGACGGAAGTGAATTGTATTGTAGATGGTGTGGACAAGGTGGTCAGGTTATGTGCTGTTCAAATTGCGAAATGGTCTTTTGTAAGGTACACATTTGATTTTATTACAAAATATTTTTGAATTGAATATTAACTTTTTTTTTTTAGAAATGTATACGAATCAACTTTGATCGAAAGAAATTATCTGATATTCAAAAAAGTGACGAATGGATGTGCTTCAGGTGTAATCCATCTCAGCTCATCCACCTTAGAATACATTGTGCAGAATTTATGGAGTATGTTCAAATAGAATTGCGGTAAGTCAAAACACACAAATCAAATTTGGCAAATATGATTTATTTTACTACAATTATAATTATTAGGCATTAGGGAAGATCAATGGGAATTTTTTTTTGGGCAGATGAACAGGAATATTAGGTTTACTAACAAAAATATTTCCGGAAAAAAGCGTAAGAGATTGGACTTTGTAATTAAGGGAAATAAAGTTTCCTATAATTCTTGTATTATTTTTATTATTATCTACATACATATCCAACATTCAGTTAAAATATAGCTATGCAATACTCAATGAGGGTATTCTTTCTTATCCTGTTTTCAGATTAGAACTTTTTAGACGCAGCTTTACATACCAAATATGTACTATAAAACTTACTCAATAAACAAATTTAAGAGGGCTTTTAAACAATTTTTATTTAAACGGTAATAAAGGAATCATTGCGTTGATTCATTAGAAATAAATATGTAAAAGTAAATCCTATAGGTTTTAAAGCAGATATAAGGTAATATGTTTTATTGTTTGTTACTATTCACATTAGACTAGCGGCATTTAATAAAGTCGATGATGATTATTATATTCGTTTTCATTACCCTTAGTCGCGCCAGTTCGTCCGGCAACGTAGACGCTTTCATGAACACCGATTATTGTCAGTGCTGCATTCCTCAGAAGAAAAAAGCCCCTGACGCCACTACTCCTGTCCAACCTAAAAAGCGGAAACGGCATACAGGAGAAGAAGACCCCGATTACGATCCGACTAAGGAGAGAGAAGAAGTTCCACCTCCTGTTGTTACTCCAACTCCATCGACGTCGCAGCAAGTAATTACACCAAAAATGCCTACCTTCAGCCCTAGAGTTACTCCTAGTCCTGTACAAATTAGGCCAAATCTTATGAGGCCCGGTTTAGCTTCGCAAAACAGGCCTAGAATGCCGATTATGACGCCTCCAGGTAAGATTACCATCAGTGGTGGTTGTGCTATAGTTTTAGAAATGTTAAATGTGCAAATATGGAGGTTTCAATAACTTCTCCGCATTTGTATTGTGTGGACTGTATAGATGTTTTGGGTGAGTTTTGGGGTATGTTGCTTTATCACTGTATAAAAGATTTATACAACAGCAGAAAGTATCTCAGTCTGACGCCATTTGCTTCTTCTATGCAACACCTGTAATGTTAAACATTGATTTTACTATATTAAATGTTTTTAAAGCTCTTTTGCAAGGATCGCAGGTTTGGTATTATGATAAAATAACTTGAGCAATTAGAAATTATGTTGGATTTAAAACATTCAAATTTTAAGACATTAATGTTAATAAATGTGGAAACAAACATTGTTAGTTAAAATTACCGGAGTTCATAAAAAAAAATTATTCTTAAAGTTTATATCTTCATGATTGAAGTTACATAAAGGGGAAACACGTAAATTTATCTCTATTAAATGATTTTCTTCAAGGGTGTGAAAGATAGGTTCAAACTATATCTTAATTAGGAACTCGCCTATAGCATGACATCGCGTCAGTAGGTCAAATGACTTTTATAAGGTATGAAAGGTAAGTTCATCACGTAGGTCTGTTTATCTAATCCAGTGGTACAACCATTTATTTAACGTCAACCAAAATAAACTCTTACGTCTATAAAAACCTCCAAAATTTAAGCCATCCTGTAGATGTTGAGCTAGAAATACTTTTTAAACCATGCAAGGAGGAAATGGTAAAAAGTTGAGATAACTTGGTTAACAATAATTAATAATTTTAATTTTGCATCTGATCCATTATTTGATATATTTTGTTTCTTCAAGGTCCTCGACCTCAACAAGGCTTCCTAAAAGTTATGCCTGGAGGAGTGCGCCTTCCAGGTCCCTCTGTATCCAACGCCGCCGCCGCTGCACGTCCCGGACTTCTTCGCCCCATTCGCCCAAGCAACACGATGAAACATGAATGGTTTGAGAAAACCGTTCGCGCGGCAGCTCGAGTTAATTCGAATCTCTCTTATACTCTGACACAGTTAAACAGAGCGCAAGCCAACGCGACTAGCGTCGAAGGTCTCGCCGTAGTGCACAACAAATTGCAGGAGATTTTGAGTAGTTCCATTAATTCTTTGATACAGATTAGAAAGAATCTGAGGACGGAGTTTATTGCAGGTAATTTTGAAAGATTAATTTTTAAAATAGATATTTATGAAGGCGGTTTTAAATCGACATCCTTGATAATTGTTACTATTTTTCATTAATTGAGTCATTTTTAAATTTGGGATAGTTTTTCAAACAATGACAGTTTTTTGCATAATTGTCACGAATATTGATGTATTGTTAGGAATTGAAGATAAAATAGTGAATTTATTTTATAGACTTACCGAAAATCGATTTACTAAGGTAAGTTTGTTTTTGGGTGGTTTTATTTTTATTATATTTAAAAAAAAAATCTAAATAGTAATAAGAATTAAAAATATACTGGTTTATAAAAGCAAAATATCATTTAAATTTTATTTACAAAATCTTAATTTTTTTAGCAAAAAACTGTCCATTTTTTGGATTACACTCCATTTATTTTTTAAATTTTCATCTGCAACCAATGAAGATGATAAATTGTTATTTAAAATCTGTTTACCAATTTCATTTTGATGAAAAATGTATCTACAATGTTGAAGATATGGCAATTTTATAGTGTACTTTTTGATTATACAGTTCATAGGACCCCATGCAATATTTTATTGACACTCTAACACTGTTCTGCGAATTTCATCTATTTCTGAATATTTTTTTTTTGTTCTAATACGATTGAAAAGCAGTAACTCAGATTTATGTTAAAAACAAACCATTTTAAACAAGGACTGTCTCAGCAATAAAAACTAGACTGGCTGCTAAAAAAGATTTATGTCTTCAAAATCCTAAACATACTGCATGTCAGAACCATATCTATTTTGTAGGTCCTAAGGTATATATAATTGCTTACCCCAGGAATAAAATCATAAGTAGGATAAATCAATGGATAGTTGAAACAAATTTTTCGATTACTGTGATGGCCACCCCCCAGGCCCTCTTTTCTTTTTGTTTTGTTCTTGTGTTTTACTCTGTTTGAAATTGTTATTATTTATTTCACAAATTTATTTCACTTTAAATTCTATACTTACTATATTTGGCCTTTTTCCTCTAGTAGGTAGTAGAAATGATCGTCTAGTTAATTAATTGATATTTTATGTACCCACGTTGTGATAATGTTAATTAAGGTAAACCAGGATTCGATGCAAAGTTTGGTGCAAATTGATAAATAAAACATACAAATTCATATTTAAACTCTTTTTATTTTTCATACTTTAAATGTGATGCAATAATTAGCAAAGTATATTACAATTGTTACTATTTACTGAGATCTCACTTAAGTCCCGTTCAAACGCAGACCATATTCATTTGCTATCAATATATATTTTATATAGGTTGATGTCCAACAGAGTTAACAAACAGCGTCAATTCGCCAGTCGTTTAACTATATTGTTGTTGTTTATATTCTGATTTAGGTTGATGACCAACGAAGTTAACGAACAGCGCCAATTCGCCAGTTGATTAACTATAGTGTTGATGTTTATATTCCTATTTAGGTTGATGACCAATGAAGTTAACGAACAGCACCAATTCGCCAGTTGGTTAACTATTGGGTTGATGTTGATTTGATTCTATTGTAGATATATACAGGTTGCACCCTCTTAGGCAAATATTACGATGAGTACAGAGGTGATGATCAACGGAAGTAACAAACAGCGCCAATTCGCCAGTTGATTACCTTACTATGTTGATTTCACATATACTTTGTTTCAAACCTTGTAGAACGGGTTGCTTAGCGTATAGGTGTCCCCCCTTGAGCTAACGAACAGCTTATTCGCCAGTTGGTTAACTTACTATTAAATTTTACCATCTTGGTTTGTACAATTTATCCAAGATAGCACATCCCTGTATATTTCTAAAATATTAATTTCTATAATTTCTATTGAAAAGACTTAATACAACCCTGTATGTATTTTAATATTGATTATTATAATTTCTATTGAAGTAACTTAATTCAACCCTGTATATTTCTTTATATTGATTTGTATAATTTCTATTAAAATACTCAAAATTTCACCCATCGAAAAACAGATGTCTATCCTGTCTTTCGGGGTGTATATGACCTGAAGGCCATGTGGTTTATTGATAATATTTTACAGCAAATGTCAAGCCTGCCCTTAAACGAAACCGGGGTGGTATCTCAAAGAAAGATACGTAAATCTTTTGACTCGCCACTGAAAATACAGACATTAGATTATGTACTAATTTCATCTAGCGTTGTGATGGCGTCTATTTAGGGGCGTCGCAACGTTAAGCGTCGAGGCGCCTGGCGTCTAGCGTCGTGATGGAAGGGAAGGTATTTAATACGGTACTGTATTGGGAAAGATATACGGTAGAATTAAGTAGGTGGTGTGGGACGTGATATATTGAAGGAAATAATTATGGACGGCAAGCGTCGGAAATAAGGCGTGGGACGTTGAGCGTCGAAATGAGTGTACGGTAGGAAATACTTAGATGGTGAGGAATGTGACAGCGTTCGAGACGTAGGGAGTAGGACGGCAGGACGTTGGGCGTCGAGACGGTGACACCTTCGGGGATAGGAGGTATTGTAGGATAGACGTCGTTTAAGAAGAGTGTTTTAGGAAAGGTACTGATTACTGAACTTGAAATATAACTGGATACAAATAATAAATGAATGTTTGCACATCAAATAATTGAAAATGAATGACCCGAGCTCATTTTTGTCTGGCTTTTTATAATAAAAGTTTTAATGGCTTTGTGACGTCTTTATGTCTTTAGTTCTCATAGAAATACTGTGGGTGTAGGGGGTGGGTTATTTATTATGTGCCTTGAAAGTTTTGTGTATCGAAATATTGTCGAAATCGGTGAAACTAGCAAGATAAGCGAGCTAAGCGCTTTAACGATAATTACTTCGTAAACAGAAATACGCTTTATGGTGTTTTCTTTGGGCTGGTACTCAGAGACACGTGGACTAATTTTGGATCTTTACGGACGTGGTTATAGCTATTATTTATTAGGTGTCGTAAATAAGATTTAATTATCTGGGAGATTTTTCGTTAAATGAAGCATTTTGAATTTAAAAGAATGTAATATTGTATTTAATAAATGGAAATAATAAATTATTAAGGTACCTGGGTGCGGTAGGTTACATTACTTGTATAAATATAACATCCTCTAATCCCAAAATTTATTCATTTACAGTATTTGCTTTTCTAACTATTAATATTAGATCATTTGCGGGTAGTTTTAAGTAAATGTGAATTATATATAATTAACCTCTTTCTAAGAATGTGTATGAGTGTCATTAAGCACACACACAGCATATTAACTTGCCATTGTGTGCTGAATAGCTATTTATTTTCCTCTCTCTCTTCAATAATGCAATCAGGAGACAAGGTTTAATTAATTCCTAGCAATGAGAAAAAATGAATATTCAAAATTAGACCATTAAAAGTTTTGTTTTCTAATTTATAAGTTCTTGATTACTTTGAATGTTAGGCCTAGTTAACTTAAGTCGCACTGTTAGGCAATTAGGATATCTTGTTTATATTTAAGATATTGTAATTTAAATTACTGTAAACTGAATGGCTAATAAATAGTTGAATCCTAAAAAAAATACCATACCCTTTACCATGAATTATACTGATACATCGCAAAAGAGTTTGAGTTTATAGGGAGATATTTCTTAAACGCAGGGTCAAAAATCGCCAAACATTTTCAAATTTTGAGAGGCGACTTCGTAAAAATGGGAGATTTTAATCGAAGAATGTGGATCGAGGGCAAACGCGTACGCCAAGACCTGTAGAAGTTGTTGCTTTTAATTGGTCATAAAATACTTAATATTCGTACCAACTTTGATTTAAAATGGCTGAATTGTGAAGATTAAAGAAAAAACAGTAATTATAATTTATATTTGTTGGCCTCTAGCAGTCAAACAATCTAGTTGGTACCTATATAGGTACGTTTGGTTAAATCAAATTATTTTTAGCCAATAAATCTATGGTAACTCCATGTACACTCAATTTCTGAACATCCTGCAGGATAAAATTTAAACATTTTCAACATTATTTTTATTTATACTTACTTTGTACTGCACTAAACTATTGATTTCCCTTTCAGGTATCAAGAACCTGCGTTTTCCACCAAAACCAACATCTGCCCCACCACAGCCTTCTACTTCTAAAGACGACGACGATGTCATTTTTGTCCCATCCGATCCTTCGCCTCCCTGTCCACCTCTCGTTCCGGTTAGTAATAACAACACAACCAACAAAATCAACCTTCCTTCCTCCATATCTCTAGTAAAGAAATCTCAACCCAGCTCTACAGTTAGTCCTCCCAAGGCTATCCCTAGTACCAGCGGTATCACAATTAAATCCCCTGGATCTGGTTCAATTGCTAAGAAAAGCACAAGTGCTCCTCCTCTTGATGATAATAACAGACCAAAAGGATTTTTGAGGGTAAAATCATTTTCGGCCCTTCAAAGCGTACCGTCTGAGTGTATTACTATACCTGATGATCCTCCAGAAGAAGAACCTAAACTAGTAGAAGAAACAGATCCGCTAGATGTCTCGAAAGACCCATTAGATGTTTCAGACGTTGTTAAGGAGGACATTGTTAATGAAAAAGACGACAAAACTGACGAGAGTCATACAAATGGTATAACAAATGGTGAAAAGGGAGAAGACGAAAGTAGTAATAAAGATGGAGAAACCCCTCCAAAAGTGGAAGATGAAAATAGTAAAAAACATGTTGATGTCCCTTTAAAAGTTGATGGTGTGGGAATGCTGAAACCCGCTACAATTGTCTTACACCGATCCCAAGAGATCGATGATATGGTTAAGACTAAATTTGATGTAGTGAACGGTGATGTTACGGACTAAAAAACAATCGGAAATATTATAGGTGCTTTTTTTTAATAATTGGTAAGTTAGGTCCAAAGAACATTTTTTTTAAGTGAACATGAACTATTTGGAGGGGTTTGATGAGTGTGAAATTACTTACTACCTTTTGTGAAGCACATTATTTAGGAAAAAAAAATGTGTTAAGAATAAATGGATTTAGTTAAAAAGGAAGAGAGTTGTCTTTTGTTTATTATGTGATGATATGTGCATCTATTACAGGGATCTCCCGTTTCAACTTAACTATCGATCTAAAATGGGATATAAAATGTGTATATAGGTTGAAAAGTGGGTGAAAAATCTATTTCCTTTTTATTATAAAACTTCATAGGTTATTGACTTGAAAGTTGGCAACTTTGTTTTTTTTATCTGGTACAAAAAATAATTAAAAATGTTTACGTTGCTCATAGAGGGTATAACAAAAAGAGATACATTAAATTTAACCACAATTTCTGGGGTCGAAAAAAAAATCGATTTAAGAAACACCAGAAACTGTGATTGAATTTACTGTAAACATTTTTGTTACACCCTGTATATTGCTTCGATAAATAGGGTCATAAGTTGCACCGTACATTGTTACAAATCCTTTTTATTTTGTACCAAAGGGGATTAGACCCTAGTCTCTGGTTAATGGTTTCCTGAATTAAGGAAACACCTTGTATAAAAAATGTGATGTTTTCATGGAGACAACCTCGAAGTATCTCACCTTAAACTATGATATGAGATTATTCCTACAAAATAGCAAAATTGCGCTATTTTTTGTTTAATCAAAAGATTTGACGTAAGATAATTTTATTTTAATCGACGAAAAAATTCAAAATGGAGAAACATAATGTTATCAAAATCAGTTTTAGTTGTTCATTTATTGATATCAAATTTTCGCTAAATCTGTGTAGTTTATTTTTTATGTTTCTATCACCTTACTTAACTATATTAATAAGGCAGTTTCAATAAAGTCTAAAATTATAAAAAATAGAATACAAAATATTTTTCAAATTTAATTCGATATTTATTTGGAGTAAGTATACAAGAAAATAGAAAATATTTAGTTTCAAATTTTAATTGGACAAGTTAAAAATGTTAAAAGTTTTTATTTTAAAGAATGTTATATTTGAAAATCGTACTATCATCACATTTGTTCTACTAGCTTTTGTAAATGACACATCTTATATAAATTAAATTGATTGATGTTCATATGGAATCATGACTACAAATGTGTGTAAAGTATTACATTTTCCTTGAAATATATTATAGTAATCGAAATTTACATCTTATTCTATTTTTTTTACGAAACTTTTTTTTTGTTTCCATGTTTTCTTTTATTTCTTCTAGGCATCAAAAATTGTATATAGTTTTGTTACATACTTACTTTTAAATAAAAATATTTTATAATATTGTCTTTTTAATACCAATCCCTTCAAATTTAAATGCATAACTAACCAACGGACGTGTTTAGAGAAATTCAAAAATATTTGTTTTTCTAAAAGATAGTACAAAATCTAATGTTTTCAAAATTTTTATCTTCACACAATTTTTTTAAATTCCAAAAAATTCAAGCAAATTAGAAACGTGAGTCTCAATGTTCTTCAAACATAGTCATCAGGTCCGACAAGAGGGGGGTAGCCGGGACAAATTCCCGGGGCCCAGGCTTAAAAGGGGCCCGGCAGCTTTAGGTGAGTACGTTTTATAGAAGATCACAAGAGAGAGGACCTTTTTTTAGAAATGTGATATTGAAAGGGCTTGGGGCCCGATCTGGCTCTCGGCGGCCCTAATAGTCATAATTAAACCTAAAATCTTATTGGATAATTTATAAAGTTCCAGACTAGTCGATATTTTTCCTTGTAAAGGATTATTGAAATTCAGGATAACTGACAATCAGTTAATGTTTCGTATAAACGAGGGTATGCTTTTCTAGGTCCCATGCTCCCAGTCATAAGATTTTGCACACATAGATATATAAAAAGAAACATTCTCCGAAAATTTTAACATTCAAACCATTCCGAAACATCTTCAAAAAAGCTCTTTTATGGCGGAGTTTTTGAAGACAAACTAATAAAATAAACATTTTGGCAACAAAGTTTATGTGCGTATCCAGGGTTTCGACGTAATACATATATGGTAGCGGTAATGTAAATAAAACCACGTTACTATGGAAATATGAGTAAGTAGTTAGTGTAGCAGACTGCGTGATGGACTTATCTCGAAAATGCAGAGAGAAAGACAGATAATGTCGAGTGTTATAGAAGTGTTTTAAACTAGCCGAGGTTTTAACATCTCGAAAGTTCTTGGTGTGATAGCAATAAAATCGGGCGATAAAGGTAAATAATTAAAGATCGATGTCAATAAAAATCAGCAAACAGAAAGGTTTACTTTTGCGATTTTGTTTCTATTCAATCACCTGTAACTGCACTCTTTTCGTTTTTTAAGTTTTGGCTATTGTTGTCTAATGGTGGTGGTCTACAAGTGGTCAGTACAAAAAAGCTCCATCAGTTTAAAAGTTCTTTAAAAAAGCCTGCATCATATAATGTAATGCTATACCTTAGCTACAGAAGTTAAACATTGATAATTTATTAATTAAAACAGAAATACACACGTACATTTTTAAAATAACTGTAGATTTTTGCTCTTAAACATTATTAGAAAACCTATCTTGGTGCGTACCTAACAAGTACCTAAACACCATTAGAAAATCTATGACAACATTTCAAGAAGCGGGGTGGGGTAGTGTATGGGTAGACCTTGAGACTTTAGATCCGGGTTCAGATTCAATCGGGTGCCAAATTACTTTCTAATTTTTCTGAAATTAAAAGATAATTCCCCACTCGAGCATTCACTGTTGGCTTTTAATTAACAGTGCTGTCCCCATAGTGGAGCAGGGAGACAGTAACAAAGCCTACACAAAATATGAGGGTAATAAGCATAGCAATACCAATGACACCTAAGAAAAAAGCAAATACAATTATATCCTACTGGTATACTACAATATAATTAACAAAACAAAACCAACTTAAATATTTTCGAAAAGATCCATGAAAAAGATCTCATTTAGGGTTAAATGTGTTCAGAAAGATCATGCTAAATACCAACATTGAAGTGGCCTATATTAAATACTATCTACTTAACTAAATTAAAGAAAAAACAAACTTCTTAAAGTGGTCTAGCAATAGCCATGTCATTTAAATTATTAGCCATTATCTCTTGCCGGATAACGAATTCCTGGCTGATGCCGTCCGTATGACAAAAACCATATTACAGAGCAGACATGTCCACACATTTCTAAGACTCGTGCACCTGATTTGCAAAGACATGCCCAGCGAATTATTGCGTTTACTCCAATTAGTTAGCTGTTATATTCAATAAAGCATTTTCTTTCGGTAGCAGCTTGAAACCTTGGAGGTATTAAGGCTCTTATCAGATGAGTTATCATTTTCGGCATTAGGTTGACGATGTAGTCTTACCAAATAGTTGCCGTTGTTTATATGTGATGGCGATAATCGGTATGTACCGAGTGTTAAGTCCTGAATTTCATCTTCCGATAAAATTGGAAAGTCTTGAAGGTCAATAAATCCGTCTCTATCAGCGGTCCATCAATTCTACCTTGAATTAGGCGTTCATCTCTATTTCTGTCTAATAAATTATTAGGGAGAAGTAAACGTTCCAAAACGTTGTCACAGAATGTGTCATCTTCACTTTTATTTATAGGCACAGAAAACGCATTGGATAAAGCACATATTACTTTAAAAATGCTTCCAAATGTTACACATCCGTAACTGTTTGGCACAACATTTTTTAGAAATCGAAACTCATTTTGAAGTCTTCCAAAAAACGCTTCAATTAACCATCTGACCATTATAATAAGTCTTGATTCATTTGCTTGCTGAGTAGTTAGTTGACGTTGGCCGTTGGGAATAAAAGGGATTTAAAAACATTTAGTCCCATATTTTGGCAAAACTGCATCGAGTCTCGATAACCGCGATGATATACAATGCTGTCACCTTCTTGAAAAAATGAAAAAAAAAAAAAACCGTCCTCGTTAACACCCATAACGTTAAATATCGACGAATCATTGTTTCTTGCATCTGAAGCATGCGGGCCGGTAACATCAATAATATGTCCGTCTAGTGCTGTCACAACCAAATTCGAACGTTTTGGCAAAAAATATGTCATTCGCTGAGAAATATGATCAACAGTAATCCGGTTAAGCACTTGCAATCGTCTTCATCCATATTTTCATTGTCAAAATCGAATCTTGCTTTTTCTTCAAGAGCTACTACGCGATCAGTGAGCAGATTAATTAAATATTCATTGTCGCCATGAGTAAGCTGCCTAGGAGCAGCCCGCGATGCAATAGCAATAGAGCAACATATTCTTTCGAAAAGTAACCATTCTCAAAATTTTCCGGGCATGATCGGTTCCCCAAGTTGCAAAATATCTGGTTTTGAATCCATAACTTGAGAACAGCTTCCCTTGAAATACGTGTCTAATAACACCGCATACGCAACAAGATCATTGATTATTTGGCAGTCTTACGCGGTAGATTTCTAATGTTTATGCCATTCCCTTCACCATTTTCAATGTCTACCTCGTCGTTGTACACATTTTCAATGATGGGAATAGTATCTTGTTGGATATTAGATTGTCTTATTTCATTGTCTTATGAATAAAAACAAGATTTATTATGTTGCTACTATAAACATTGCTTTACTCTACCTTGTCGTCGAAACGTAGCATAGCATTGGGTGCAAATGCGCGAGTTTCCTCCAGGTTCTACCCAGTCAATTTCTCTGCGTGTTCGAATATTCAGTAGAAACTGCCGGTAGGTTTCATTGTTGGCCGCTTTTGAAGTACTTTTTACTTTCCTATCTGTATACAGATATAAGGAAAGTATAGGAATCATGATTTTTTTCGACCTCGAGTTTTCGACGGATTTTTACGTTTTGAGGTCCCCTGAATCCGTTTTGACTATTTTCGCGATGATGTCTGTGTGTGTGTGTGTGTCTGTATAACGCATAACTCATGAACCGATACACGGAAAAACACCAAATTTCAAAATTAAGCTTTGTTCCAACGTCTAATGAGCTGATTAGATTTTGGGCAGAGTCGGAACATCTGGGGGGGTACTTTATAGGTGGTCATTTTTATATTTTATGGAATATATCTGTTATTTACGTTTGGGGAAGAAAATTCTTTAAATGAAAGTTACTTCTTATTTTATTATCTATAATTTTTGTTATATACAAAATTTTCCTAAAATGGTCCGTATTCGCGAAATTTGACAAAATGTAAAAAAATATTTTTTTTTATAAAAATTGTTCAAACAAAAGTTGTTTGTAATATAATTCTCTATAATTTTTATCCTATAGATAATTTCTCTAAAATGGACCGTATTCGAGATATTTGAGAAAATGTGTAAATTTCGAAATTTGAAGAAAACTCAAAAATGGATAAAGAAAAAAACATTAAATTTTAAACTTAAGTTTTATTTCGGCCTGACGTGAAATGATTAGATTTTGGACAAAGTCGGAACATCTGGGGGGGTACTTTATGGGAGGCCGTTTTTATATTTTATGGAATATATCTGTTATTTATGTTTGAAGAAAAAAATTGTTCAAATAAAAGTTACTTCTAATATTATTATCTATAATTTTTGCTTTATGAAAAAATTTCCTGAAATGGTCCGTATTCGAAAAATTTGACAAAATGTGCAAAATTCTGATTTTTATGAAAATTGTTGAAATAAAAGTTGTTTGCGATATCGATCTCTATATTTGTTTATACATGATTTTTTTAAAATGGACCGTAATGGAAAAATTGTAGGAAAAGTGCTAAATTTAAATTTTTCAGTATTTTCATTTTCAATGAATATCTATAGAAAAATGTTTCGCGGTAGATGTATGTGGACAATGTATATATTTAGTTTATCCTCTAAACATTTATAGAGATGCTGCAATAGATTGTACAAAATAACCGGAAAAAGCCTGTAATACCTAGATAGGAAAGTCATGTGTTGGACACATCAGATTTTTTTATTCGCACTCACAAAACACTTTATTGGGGCCATGTAAAATTATCGAATATAGATACAAAAAGTGTAAAAATAGGTATTCTAATTAAATAATAAACGAATTGAACAGAAAATGATTCACACTTTTTGTTATCAACAAGAAAATGTCACTTCTATCAATTAGTCATTAAAATAATTAAAACGAAACGTTGCTACATTGAATTTATTGACATTTAAAACATGATTTAAATTTTTTTGTCAGACCGCCCAACTTTCCCTATAAAAAACTTAACAATGAGGAATGTTTTATTTAATTATTAAATGGTATGTTTTCCATAATTTGCTTGGTGTATTGGCAAACTTGTTTCTATAAATAATTTGGTATATTATTATGATGTACCTGTTTAGTGACTTCAACAGTTGAAATTTGTATACTTCCAAACCACTTTTAGTTTGTGTAAATTTTTCTAGGCGTATTATAAAAACAATGTTTGAGATGTATACTTTGTTATTTATAAATTTATTGTAAAAAAAAACAAATAAATACAAAACTTATAAAAACAATTGACAACAAAATATATAAAGCAGACATTTATAATAGATATTAAAAAAATTAATTGTAAAGTAAAAAGCTTAGACTTAATTTCCTTTATTTTTAAATTCTATTAATTTTAACTGTAATGGCAGTATCACATTAAACTATACAAAAATCTAACATTCAGAAGTCTCTTATGTTTGGCAAAAGATAGCTGGTTCTTACAAAAAGTCTTAATTAGTTAATTTGATTGCCTCTACCGTATTTAGATGTATATATGTTACGATTTTTGTTTAACCTGAGTTTCAGCAACTCAAAATTGCAATATTAATAATTCCTAAGAGACGTACAAAAATTCTGCATATCGAAGAAAATTACAAAATATGTAAAGCTGTTAGTAAATATTTATATTTTATACTAATATCTAAAGTGTCCTTTCTTTGATTTGCTGTTGTGATAAACTCGTAGTGGAGTGTACGATCCATTGCCATTCATGCCTAAAAACAAAAATTGTATTAAATTTTATAAGAAATTTTATCATTTACAAATCCCAGTATGTACCTTCCAAACAAATAAAAGTGTGACAAATCTTATGTAAATCGATTTATTGGTTATTTTTTTTACGTTCAATTAAATTAGACCTCTAATTCCAAATTTTATTTTTTTTATTCCCCTTTTTTCCTATTACTAACAGATTTATTTTATACAAACAACAAACTATAAACCCGTGTTTCCCAACCTTTTTTTCTCCTCTGTTCTAATACCAAGCCTTTTTTAATGTTATATTTATGTAACATATATATTTACATAAATATAACATACAAATATGGATTAGAATTTTCTTGAATATTGCGAAATAACAAGAGGAACAGCGACAGCTTCATAAAAACCGAGCACGCGCTATATTCTACTTTGTGATGAATTGCCAACGTTATACTTCTGCTTTCTCTTTTTAATTCTCGCTTCATATGAATAGTCTTCTTTCTATTGCTCTTTATAGTTTTGCCCTATACCCAAGAAAAATTTAAGCCGAATCTGTTTACTTTTTTATATAGGTACTAATGTAAAAAATTATTTATACCGTATTGCGTTTTTTGTCTAGACTCTAGGCGCCAAAGTAATTCTTGCCAAAGATACACTTTTTATTATACATAATATAAAATAAAAAAAAATCCCATAAATTTATTTTATTTTTTATTTTTAATAATCGAAATCTGATATGCAATAAATTTTTACTTACTTTGTACAACAACGGGAGCTGGTGCCGGGGGCAAATTAACTGGCGGTATACATTTTGGTTTCAGGTAGGAATGGTAAATGATAAAGTACGCAATGGCTATGCACGTGGCAGTTATACAAAGTACTTTATGTACTTTTTGAAACGTGTATTCCGAGTTGAATTCGGAGTAGGCCATTCCTCCAAAGAGGGCACCTAAAGAGCGACCTAAAAAATAAAAGTTATATAAATATCTACATTATAATACATATTTTAATAATGGACTACAACAACGCATCAGAATTTTTAATCCTTATTACTTATACATAAGAAATCATTAATTTATCCATTTAGAAGAAATTTATGATTAAAAAACCATTACTAATGAATATTCCCGCGAAAAAACACCATATAGAATAACTACGCTAAGCGATATCTGTCTAAGTATTTTTTAAAAGTTTAATTTGAAATATTTAATAATAATCAATCGCAAACGTGGCCTTACACTTAATCTTCCAGGCAGCATCCTTTTTTACTTTCCTATCTGTATACAGATATAAGGAAAGTATAGGAATCATGATTTTTTTCGACCTCGAGTTTTCGACGGATTTTTACGTTTTGAGGTCCCCTGAATCCGTTTTGACTACTTTCGCGATGATGTCTGTGTGTGTGTGTGTGTCTGTGTGTGTGTGTGTGTGTGTGTGTGTGTGTGTGTGTGTGTGTGTGTGTGTGTGTGTGTGTGTGTGTGTGTGTGTGTGTCTGTATAACGCATAACTCATGAACCGATACACAGAAAAACACCAAATTTTAAACTTAAGCTTTGTTTCAGCGTCCAATGAGCTGATTAGATTTTGGGCAGTGTCGGAACATCTGGGGGGTACTTTATAGGTGGTCATTTTTATATTTTATGGAATATATCTGTTATTTACGTTAAGAGAAGAAAATTCTTCAAATAAAAGTTACTTTTAATATAATTATCTATAATTTTTGTTTTATGCAAAATTTTCCTAAAATGGTCCGTATTCGAGAAATTTGACAAAATGTAAAAAACATAATTTTTTATAAAAATTGTTCAAATAAAAGTTGTTTGTAATATAATTCTCTATAATTTTTGTCCTATACATAATTTCTCTAAAATGGACCGTATTCGAAATATTTGAGAAAATGTGTAAATTTCGAAATTTGAAGAAAACTCAAAAACGGATAAAGGAAAAAACATTAAATTTTAAACTTAAGGTTTATTTCGGCCTGACGTGAAATGATTAGATTTTGGACAAAGTCGGAACATTAATTTTACCCTTATTGTTTTTAATATACTTCCCAAGCGTATTATTGGTTTTAAAAGCTACGTTAATATTTTGGTTTTTTAAATATGATGATACCTTTTCACTAGGAGCTCCTATATATGTAAGACTCTTATATCTGCAATTTGGATCTTTAATTATGGGATAAACTTGTTGAATAGCCTGTTTAAAAAGTTTTTTCTCTAAAATGTTGTCTACTAACTTTGAATTAAAATTATTATTTACTGCGATTTGTTTAATGATATTTAATTCTTTTGTGAAGTTCTCTTTGGTAAGGGGAATATTAACTAATCTATGGATCATACTGTTGTATGCTGCCAGCTTTTGTTTGTATGGATGAGATGAACTATTATTTATTGTAATATCCGTATGTGATGGCTTATGAAATATCCCAAAACTATGGCCTTTATTATTTTTAATAATATTTAAGTCTAAAAAATTAATTGAATTATCCTTCTCTGTTTCCATAGTAAATTTAATATTAGGGTGTATAGTATTGATAAAAACTAATAAAGAATTTAACTGTCTACTAGTACCAGTAAAAGCAGTCAATATATCATCAACATATCTATGCCAATACAGACAATGTTTACTTAAATTATTGCTATGAATTTTATTTTCTATATTATCCATAAATATTTCTGCAAGCAACGGGCTTAATGGGTTCCCCATAATAAGACCTTCATTTGCTGAGTAAACAATTCATGGAACTCACGTAATAATATACAAACGAGATATAAAACCTGTAATCATTTATCAAGAAATTTTAAATAACCAAATATATTGAATAATTACCTTTGGTCGCCGAACGCAGACATATACAAAACGAATCAATTAGTAGTTGAACGAGAAAAGATCGATTCGCCATAGCGAAAGAATACTTAACTGCTTCCTTCTATCGTCAGACCGCGCAAGACCCAAATTATTGATTTTAACCCATAAGTGGCCTTAACAATAGTTTCTCGTGCCAGTGGCGTGCCTGAATGTTTTTCCAATAGGGTATAATTATTGAATGTCGTTAATATTACGGAAATAAAACTGAAACGTTATTTATAACGTTACATATTTGCAATATGTTTACAGTATTTTTGTTCATATTTCTATTGTACATAAATGAATTCAATAATTTCCATTAATTATAAACATTTAAAATTAATTGTTCCTAGTAACAACAATTAAACAATCTTACAATTTCAAAACTTCCTACATTCCTCGACTATTCTGAATATTCGACAACACTGCAGAGTCGTGACTTCATAAATGATCTATGACGTGCATCGGTATTTATATTAAAAATACTATACCGTACTTTCGTTGCAATTACATTGTGTCTAGCTTCATCTTTAAAGAAGTACGTGAGGTCACTAAAAAGACACATTCATCCGCTAGGCGATAGTGGTGGTACGTGTTACGAATTACTATGTATTTACCTTGTTTGTGTTAGGGTAATTTTAAGCTATTGCATAGCTTTTATCGCGGGCTTTGAGCGCGGAGACCGAATCAAGAAATTCCGTAACACCGTAACAAAAAAAAAACCTAACACCCTCCCACTCCGACCGGCACAGCGGTGCGGTGTTAAACAATAGTAACTTCTCATTTATTGAATAAAAAAAAATCGAAAAATCGAAAAATGGAATAATCGAAAAAGCAAAAAATCGAAAAATCAAATAATCAAAAAATCGAAAAATCAAAAATCGAAAAATTCCCTAACGAAAATAAACCTAACACCCCCCACTGGGGGGGTACTTTATGGGAGGCCGTTTTTATATTTTATGGAATATATCTGTTATTTATGTTTGGAGAAGAAAATTGTTCAAATAAAAGTTACTTCTAATATTATTATCTATAATTTTTGTTTTATGTCAAAATTTCCTGAAATGGTCCGTATTCGAGAAATTTGACAAAACGTGCAAAATTCTGATTTTTATGAAAATTGTTGAACTAAAAGTTGTTTGCGATATCGATTTCTATAATTTTTGTTTATACATGATTTTTCTAAAATGGACCGTAATGGAAAAGTGCTAAATTTAAATTTTTCTGTATTTTCGTTTTCAATGAATATCTATAGAAAAATGTTTCGAGGTAGATGTATGTGTAAAATGTATATATTTAGTTTATCCTCTAAACATTTATAGAGATGCTGCAATAGGTTGTACAAAATAACCGGAAAATGCCTATAATAACTAGATAGGAAAGTCATGTGTTGGACACATCAGATTTTTTATTTGATTAAATGCCACTTGTCTTTAGAATTATTGTAGAGTTTTAAGATTGCATAGCTTTTATCGCGGGCTTTGAGCGGCGACCGAATCAAGAAATTTCGTAACACCGTAACGAAAATAAACCTAACACCCCCCACTCCGACCGGCACAGCAGCGCGACGTTAAAGTCATGGAATGTTATATCCGACCCTATTCGTATTAGTATGAAGCGAAGTTAAATATACGTCTGCGGACTGAAACATTTATGCAATACAAGAACTAGAAGAGCTTCTAATAAATTGGTATCACAAATATTCCCGGATGGCATAAATATTATAGTTGGAGGGCTAGTAACACAAATTTCATTAAGTGTTTGATGCACTTTGAAATTTTGTAATTTGAAATCATTTGGATGGAAAAGCAGATATACCTGTGTTGGCTAGAACAACCCGGGATACCAGGTACTGCGCATAATAGAAAGGGGTCGTAAAATATGACCCAAAAAAAGTGTTATTTACTATAGAAAGAGATTTTAAATTCATATTTCGGAGTATAATAAAAAAAATGCATTTATTTAGATGACTTATGTTTATACTTTTAATCTCTCAAGATTAAAAATTAATACACGAAAGTGTAACTTGAATTAATATCAAAGAAAAAAAAATACTGCATAAATAAAATAAATAAATAATTATAATTGCATAAGTAGATAAAAAATGCTATGCAATAGCTTTACCGCGGCAGTCTCCGAGTGCCACACGTATTTTTGTATTCCCTTGCATCAAAAATATCATATCATATTTGTTTAACTAACACAACCAATAAGTCAATTTTTATGAATGTAAATTTGGCTCAAAGCTTGAGTATACATATATTTTTTATTGAATTTTGGATCCCTCAAAAATTATGACATATTGACAAAAATTGGACTATCGCTTGGTATACAATTTATTTTTCAATTGATTTTGGAATGTCGTATTATTGAAATAATTAAAAATATAATATAATATAGTTTTATTAGTTACCTAAACAAAAGTGAGCAATGATTGGCAGTGCTTGACCACAAGCAGTGTATTTTCTCGGTATAAGATGTCTTAGATACAGGATGGAAGTAATATACATAACGTGCAAACTAAAAAGTTCCAACCATTCGCAGAATAGTATGTACCATGCGTTATCAATAAACATCAAACCTAAAAAAAAAGACAAAAATAGTGTACCTACGTAGTAAAACATCATCAGCTCTTTCAGATTGTGTCTAGACTATAGAACTTAAACAAGGAAATAATAGATAGTAATGACAGACTTGCCATATGGAATGTACATATTTATCCATCATTTTTCTTCGCCTAGCTTTGGCTCAATAACAGTTGACACAATGACTCATTCCATTACTGACTATTATTTCCGTATTCAATTATAGTGAAACATCTAGAAACTGAAAATTATGTAAATTTTTAAAGAAACTACAAAATATTCCCAAAAATTTAACACGTCTTGAACATCGGTAGCACGATATCAATGGTATGAGCTCGATGTTTATTTCTTAGAAATCATTCAAATAATATTAAAATTAACAATAATTGAGATTTATAAACTTCTTGACCAAATTAATACAGATAAAGTATTAAGCAAAAACAACAAAAAAGATAAAAGTTAAAAATTAGGCAGAATTTTTTTTATAGTAATAATTTATTTCACCCATATTGCCAGTGTGATAAAAGAAGTAATTTTAAGGTATTACGTATATTTTAGACATTACTCCCCAAGCGTGCTTGATGTTTCTTAATTGTATTGTAATTTTTATTGTATTTGGAGAAATAAATATTATTATATTATTAGCGAATTAAATTCAGTTCTATTTTAAAATTTAAAGGACTTACCTAAGTGATGACAAATGTAATTTACAAAACTGAAGATCAGAATATTATTGTGACCGCAATAATCGACAATCATTTCTGCTAAAATCAAAAATATCACAGCAGGAACGGCACCTACGGTCAACGTGAGGCCAATTATTAGTGCATCGGCTTCTCTTGATTTCACTACGTACCTAGTTAAAGAAGAATATTTATATTAAATATCATTCCACTTCATTAAAATGATTTTTGATTAGCTATCGATAATTTACGGAACCCACAAAATATTTTTTTTATTTTTCCGTAAAATCTTACTTAGAACTTAAAAAAATAGATTATTCCGACTTAGAATTCAGAAAAATAGATTTTTCCGACTTCTAAGTAAAAAATGCCTTATTTTTCTGAGCTGTAAGTCGAAATAATCTATTATTCTAAGTTACAAGTTAGAAATATCAATTTTTCTGAGATCTAAGACAAAAAAAATTAAAAAATATGAGGCTCTTTTACGCTTTCGTAGACTAATCTATTATTCTGAGTTACAAGTCTGAAAAATCGTTTTTTCTGAGTTCAGAAACATAAACAGAATATTTTGTGGCCATTTTATGCCTCCGTAACATTATTTGACTTTTATCCTTGCAATAGTTTATGTTTATTAATTTGTTGAGTACGCTTGTCCCTGTATAAGTGAAATTATTATATCTAATATCGTTTTTTTTTGTTAAATTGGAACCTTAATTTCAATTACGAAACGTTTAACTTTGAGCGGAACTTTTTTGAAAGTGTAATATTTTGTATAACTTACCACGGTAAAAACGCATCAATAGAACTCCAGAACACTCCCAAAAGGAATAAAATAATTCCTAAACCTGCAACTTCCCATCCATATTTTCTTACTGAAGACATTGGTAAAGCCAGAAGACCACATCTTGTATGCCACCACCATTCTGGAGGACTTAAAGGCATTGTACTGGAAAAATTGTATTGTAATTATTAGCTCTATGTCCACTTTAGCAACGAGGAAGGAGTAAAACTAATGTTACTTACTCATCCAGAATTAAGAGCAGAACTGCGCATGCGGCTAATGTAGTGAAGCATATACACGATTCCAAATAACCTCCATAAGCTAATCCTCCCATTATTGGTGCAAAAATAGCAAAACCTAATGCTCCTGCTGCATATTGTTTGCCAACATCTCCTCTACCTATAAAATAGTGTTTGTAAGAACATAAATGTATGAGATGAAAATAAAATTTTAAATTATTGGCTACAAAATGTGACAAAACTTGAAAAGCTTACCTGAAGAGGTCTCTCTGGTGGCTATAACCACAGCAGTACTAATTAACACAACAGAAGCGGCCAAAAACATGTCTGCCAAAGATCTGATAAATATGTAGAGCCAAAATGTATAATTGCCACATTGAGATCTTCTTAACAAACTGTTTGGAATGTTGTATGGGTTTTCAATTTCACATATTACAACGGGTTCGCAATCTTTATCGTGACCATTTTTGGTTAAATTCTTCCATATGTCTTGTCTTATCCTGCATTGAAATGGTTCAACTAAAAAAAAAAAACAAAGATACAGGATATTGTTGATGGTTATCAAAAACATAAAATACTGGTTACTTGTTAGCTAACTAGCTAGTACCCAGACAGCACACCAAATCCTTTGGATATCTACTGAACATCCCAATATCCACTGAATGTCCAGTCCATGGTGGATATCTATTTTATATCCATGAAATGTAATTTATAGACATACAAATGTCCATAAATAATTGTAATTATATAGCAAATTATTAAAAAATTACGCCATTGTACTCGCCATTGTGGCTAATAGTACCGTTGAGATATTTAAAATTAATTTTTTTTAAGGTGTATTCAATATCCCATGGACATCCACTATAAATATATCAAAGTCTAAGCGCGGACGCAAACCATCGTGGATATCTACTAGATGTAATTTTTGATTTTGCTTCCTAAGTATAGATGGCGATACCACTTTCATATCTACTCATGCTTAACCCGCCGTAATTGAGTTTGATCGACATTGTTTCACAAACAGACTTCATTAGAGACTGAAGTCGAGAAGTTCCATTTATTGCTGAAGATTCCTAATAAGGATGATTTTCTCCTTATTATGCAAAATCAAAGGCAGATTGTTGGGAATATTTTTTACCTCTATTTTCTTTCGACGTTATTCAATAACCATTGGTTACTTATAAACCTCTACTAAAAATAATTATAAAATATTTATCTGAATTTCTATATCCTGGGATATAGACGGACATTTGGTTGGATATCCACAAAATATATTCTATGGATATATCTGGGATTTCTTGTATTGTCTGGAGATACTCATTAGATATTTTGATGAATATCCATCCATAGGATATCTTCTATATTCTGGATATAGACGGACATTTGGATATCCATATTAGTTCCACGGAATATTTCTGATATCCTGTGGATATATTGGATATCCACAAAATATATTCTGTGGATATCTCTGGGATTTGGTGTGTTGTCTGGGTAGTTATTTAATGTAACAACTAGTATTTTGATTCAAGTACAAAATGTTAGATATGACATAGTACTACTTACTGATAGGAAATTTGCAGGTCTTATTTTCAATATTGTCTGAACTGTAGAAAGGCACCGACGGTTTTAATCCAATATTAAATTCTATTGGCTTGGAGTAATCCGTAGAAACTTCACAAAGCCTATAGTTTGAATCGTTTGTATAACACAAGTGTGGATAGGCCTCGAAATCATTATTACTATAATCGTTTGATTGGGTAGTAACACTCTAAAACAAAAAAGGTTTTAAAAATATTTAGTTTTAAGAGTGTGAGGAATATTCTATGTTTGGTAAATTGTTGATCCCATTTATTCAAGTCCAAACACAAAAAATATACATATCTACATAGGTACATAATATATTTATCAAGGAATGGTCAAATGAATCATTATGAGAACTTACTAAGTCAACTTCTAAATCAGGTCCACTGTCGTAATAAATTTCGCTATCCCCGTCTGAGGCAGGTTCGTGTAGGCCATTCAAACTTTCTTCTTTTTTTCGTTCTCTTTCTCTGAAGAGCTGTGCCGTGTATTTTGAAGTTCCATTACAGGTATACGTACACGTTTTTACCAAAACGTTTCCTTTCTAAAAAACAAAAAATATTCTAAATATGATGTATTAATAAACATTAAGAACTCACAGTCTCGTCAAACTCATAACAATGTTGTCCGCATCTATCTTGTAAAATATGGCCTCCATTTTCATTACAAATAAACGATACATTTTCAGACGTTTTCTGCAAATAAAATTTACGAATTATTTTTGTGTTTACCATTAATTGGGTGGGTGTTTATTTATCATAGACTTTTATATGTCTATAAACTAATTATTGAGCGTATTCTAAGTTTATTTTTACACATTTTTTAAGCGACCCTTAAGGTAAATGTTTTTGTAACAGAAACACAGATGTCATAGCAGAGTATACTCTGGAAGAAAAACAAGTCTGCTCTGCAGTATTGTTAGACGTTGCCCAAGCCTTTGAAAAGGTGCGACATGAAGGTTTAGTGAACAAACTAAAAAAATGTTCCTGGAGAAATATGTAGACATAACATCATATATCTCAGTCAGGCTTTTAAAATCAATTAGAAAGACGATTATTCTAATAAGAATTGGAGTACCTCAAGGAAGTGTTATTGGACCTGTTCCAAAATAAAGAATTTTGAAACATAAAAAAGACGGTCCTGTGCTCAAAAAAGCCAGGTGTTCATTTATAAATTACAGGCGCATACGTGACCAAAATCATGTATCTCGCGCGAAGAACTGGTCGGAGTAACGTAACCATATGTCCACCTCTTTCATAAAAACATAAAAAACCGGCAGAGCGATTCGAGCTTCCTAACATCAAGTGTCGTCTCTCTTTTAATAAAAAATTCTTTGAGCAACGATAATGTAAAGTCTTAGTACTTAAATATGTAAGCAGTAGTTAGTAAAAAACAAATGTAAATATGTACAAAGTTTTGTCGTGCAGCGTTTGTGCACAATAAAGTGTTTTTAAGAAAATGTTGAGATTTCATTGTTCACATGGAGATGGTTGCTGCCAGCGTCTACAGGAGACAGTCCATTTTGGTAAGCGTGCCTTAGGGCCGTATTTAATATTTGTGGGGGATTCAACCATTAGAAATCCACCAGGATCCATCTAATACTCTACACTAATGCCAACTCTGGAAGATAATACTGTAGCTATATTAGCTGATGATACACTATTCTCCTTTGGAGTTGATCAGGACCAAGAAAGATCAGGAAGACAATTCCAAACAGGTAGCATTTCTCTAGTTAGATTGACCAATCAATGCCCATGGAAATTATCTTTTGTATCACTAATTATTAAAGCCTTCTTGAAACTTAAAGTCTGACAACAACTTGATCCCTACAATTTGTTATCTCCATCTGAGGCTACTCGAGTTCTTTCGAAATATGCTTCTTCAAAAGGCTGTAAAGCAAACCACATAAATAAACTTAACGTCAGGGAACAATCTCTGAATCAGGCATCACAAGAAAGTATGGCGAAAAAAGATTTTACTAATGGTCGGAAAAAGGAGAAACTGACCTTATTTTAAATTTTAGAATTTAATGATCAAGGTATAAGTGATAAAATTTAATAAAAAACCATTTAAAATAGTTTTTTTATGATGTACGAGTAATTGGTAAAAATACAATAATTATTTTTCTATAAAATATTGATTTACTATAAGAATATCTTTAAAAATTAAAATTTCTATCAAATACTTACAACAGCGGGAATAACTAGTAGCAACCAATACAAAATGGTAGCAAACGTCAGCGATACTGCTATCATAACTCTAAGATAAGCCCCATTTCTAGCCTTTTGAGGACTTCCGTAAATTCCTGCTAGTCTGTCGGCTAAAGGAGCAGCTACCAAGGGTCCTATAGCTGCAAGTAGAGGGGCTACTATCGATATTATTATCGATTCACTTTTTGAAAGTCCTAAAGCGTCGTTCATATGAAGCGGTAAAAATGGAATAAGGCTTCCTATAGCTAAAATGATAAACAATTAATGTAGTGGGTTCTAATTTTAATAAAAAGAACAACCCTAATTATTTATTCAAAACAGATGTTAATGTCGAAACAGCTTTTTTTATAATGAAAATTATCCAAAACGTTGTCAAAAACATGTTGGTTTTAAATATTATGAAACAAATTATCTACTTACCCCCAAAAACTAGAAACAAAATACATTTTAGCGAAAATAATTTTCGGTTCCAGTAGAACACTTTTCTTATGTTGTCCATCATATTTATAAACTAGTCTAATCGTCGAAAATATATTAAAAATATCAGTTTCTGCTCCATGTTCAGCTAGCGCGCTTCACCATTATTCCATCTGTAACAAAAATAGAATTTAAGACTAAAGAAAACTCGAATAGTGTTGTTATAATTAAATTCATAAATTTTCTAAATTCGAAACGTTTTTAGTTTATTGCTCTCAAATGGTCTAAAGCGTGTTGAGTTTTAGCATTTTGTAATTTTTAGGTCCCTTATTTCATATAGTCTATATATTTTTTTTCTTTGAAGTTTACAAAATATACTGTGAGAATTTTGAAAAGTAAAAAAAGTTGTAATTTCATTTTATAATAAAGAGTTTTGCCGAATCCCTACAAACTTTATTTAACAAGAATTTAGACTGCCATCAGCTACAAAGCACATTGGTAAAATATGCCATTTGGTATAACAATCCAAACAAAATATATCGTCTAGTCGCCTGTGCGTGCGTATATATGATAACTTTATAGTTTCTTTCAGTCGTATTTTTTTGTTTCACAGTTTATCTAGACATATCGAGTACCCATTATCTTACTACACAAAAGCCGTCATTTCTACTCTAAGTTCTAACTCCTCATGCAGTCGAATCTTCTGTTATAAAAAGAAGAACTCAAGTTGTAAATGTTAGTGAAATAGTTAAAACCAATTATACAGTATGATTCAAATGAAAGGAATAAATTCATTATAATGGAAGCAGTTGGTTTTTCGAAAAAATGCTTAATTTTGTTAAAAATTATAAAGAAATAATTTTATTTTTTTTTTGACAATATACAAAACTAAAATACTTAGACAATTGATATGGCTGAATAGATATTTAGAATACCTTTTAAATGATGTATTACAACACACACATTTCCATTTAAAAACACGGTCACATAGATGTCAAAAATAAAAAAATATCCTGACGAAGCGCCAATTTAAAAATAAAAATCTACGGGTTTCAAGATTTTTTTCGGAAATAATTGATTTGCGAAATAATGAATTTATTCCTTTCATTAGCACCGTACTGTATACCCATCACAAGTGTAATAGGAATCTGTTGTTAATAAATGTTTTATTATTGTTTTGGAATCGCCGTCTAAATCTCCACTGACCTGTATAAGGATAAGAAACATACATGTAGGTTAGTCCTTTAAGAATTTAAATATGGTTCATACTTTATAACAGGTTATTTCCTAGCCATGCCTCATATATCAAACAATTCATATTGTTGCTTAAATTACCTCCAGGAATATATTAAATTTATCTGCCATACGTATTCGTTTAAATTAATTTTGTACATGAAATGAGAAAAATAAAGCTTTAATCGGAGGAAAACAAAGCAGTCGACGCCGATGATATTGATGTAAAAAAAAGATCCAATAAAAAATGGGTCACCTATATTTCATTCTATAATTATTTTGCATCTATTTCTGCATACAAACGGAAGTGTGTCAGCATTGGTGACATAATTTCCACGTTATGTTTTTCCAGGTTTTTGGCAATAATTCAACATAGCTTTTAAAAAGGTGTATGTACTTAAAAGTAAACAATTTTTTAATTGGAATTGAGTTCTATTACAACTACTGCGTTTTCTAGTTATATGAGTAGATAATATCTGCACGCGGCCTTCAAAAATTAGCATACTTTTAAATTTTAATGGCAGAAAATTGTGTTATCACCTGTTGTTTTATACTTTTATTATACGGGTAAATACGCGCATGTATAAGTACTAAAAAAAAGTTAATCAATAGGTAGGTACCTACCTTTTTCCTACTTGAATTCGAATTAACAACGATGTATTAAATGACACCTACCTAAATCTAAAAAGCAAATTTAATTGTAAAAGTTATAAAAATAAATGCAATAACATTATTTATTTAGTATTTTTCATTCGATGCTTGTTAATAAAGTATACCTAGTTGCAGAAAATATATATTGCGCGTCTATAAAGTGCTCACGTTAAACTATACAGGGTGGTCACTTTTTAAATAAAAATATAAATGGAGAAAAAGTTGTATATTTCGAAACCCAATCTGAAAACGTTTTGAAAACAAAGATATCAGGGCTGAATTCCGAGATACTCGATACAAAACAAATTAGTTCCATTTCTTCATTCCACTATGTTCATTTTCAAAAATGTATAAAAAGTTGCGGTTTTACTTATTTTATCCATCGTTTAGTAAATGCATGGTGTTTGCTCGTTTCGTCCGTTACCGTTTCGTCCGCTAATAAAATTATACCTCTATTGACCCTTTTTATGCTCGATTCGTCCGGTGAAGTAAAACCCTACTTAATAAGTTATCGTTTCGTCCGTTAGACATAATTTTATTAATAAGACTGGATAATTTAATTTTTTCAAGACTATAATTGTTTACAAAGGTAAGAATACGAATAATACGATTATAGGTAGTTGCTTGAATTTTACGTTAATCTGAAAATCTATCAACGCACAAAATTTTTTTAGTAATAAATTTTGGAAAATAGGAGTGACTAAGGCCCTATCGCAATATAATTAAAACAAAATTAAACTATTACTACTTAATGAAGAAGAAGTAACGAAAAATGTGAAGATTAAAGGACTTGATTTTGTTACTACAGAGCCCATATTCAATTTTGTCAAGAAACAATTGTATTCTGCTCGACAGAAAGCTTTAGGGATCGAAATACTACCAAAAACCCGAATGGAAATTACAATTCCTGAAAATTATAAAAAAATTCTATTTTTTGACTGCAAGAGTGAAGTTAGAATTTTAATCTTTGCAAATGATAAATTTATTCAGCTTGTCACTTTTTTAATAAAGTATTCTCGTACAGATTTTATATTTTTTACATTTTCTCAGTATATATTAATATTTGACCCCCAGTTTTAAGCCAAATCTTAACATTTTCCATTATAGAATTTGCAGGTAAAATATAACCTTTGCTTTGTGAATCACTCTGTATAGGTAAACAATAATTTAAACTGCCAAAGCCCACTTTGAACTGTTTGTACAATTTATGTGAGTATTTAAATATCAATTTAGTTTTTTTGAGGTGTAACTGATCCTATTTATTTAAAAAATAGTCAATCAAAATTATAATTATTTACATGCCTTCAGGTATTACATTATTTTTATCACTTTCAAAGGGCCTCCAAAAAGCCATTTTTTTATAAACCAAAAATTCAAACGGTAATGTGAATACAACACTGGATAAACAAATATTGTCCATATGTGCTCAGTCAACATGACGATAACGCATAGAAGCGTGCCAAATAACCAATTAGAACATGAGTTGAACAAAATCACAGAATTACTATTGAATATCCCAGTCCATGTTGACCGGCTTTTCTTGGTTATCTTGGGCTACAGCAAATAGAAATTTATGAAAGGCTCGATTCGGCCAATAGAAGACGCTAAAATTAAGGTGTTATAATTAATCGAGCCGACAGATTCTCATCGTACAGCGATGCCAGGCGTAAAATATTTATTTGACAGTCGGTTCCAGCATATTTGCTCGAAGGGTACTATGCGTTTAAAGTAAACAGTCGTTTGGCTGTAATAGAATTGATCGCACCAGTTTATTTTTGCAGTTTGACAACTGTGTTTTCTGATCGTTGGCGGTGTCTTTGTGAATTATGTATAGATATATTAATAATACTGATATTTATTTGTGGAATAGTAAAATTTATCTGTGCCGTCTACTATATAGAAATTACTCGAAAGCGTTGCTTCATTTTCGAGAATATAAACAATATTAATTTAAATTTTACCCAAATGAATTTAAGAATTAAGAAAACTTTATGTATATAGAATTCTATACTCAATGATTAAGGGAGCGCCTAGCACACGAGCCATTTTAGTGAAGTTCTGTACAGCTCTAACAGATGTCGCGACATAATTACCTCCAATGAAACGTCCATAAGGTTGATCTACTAGGATATCTAAATACAATGGTTTTACTAAACCTTTTCGTGATAATTTCTTTAGAACTAGTCAATATTTTCTCTATATCACTAACTACTTCTTGGTTATCAATTTCTTCACCTTTTTCTGGGTTCGGGTGGAAAATACGTTCTGAAGAGTTGGCAAAACCATCAACTTTTTGTTTGCAACTTTTTGTCCACATCCCATTTTCAGTTCGTATTGGGGATATGTGTTGTATTGGTTTCTTTAATATTTTGACACCTTTCCATAATGAGTAATCAGTGATTTGGTCATTTGTGAGATCTCTCAGGTTTTTGCTGCTTGACTTATTTTTAATTTTTAATATTTCTCTACTGCCTAACTCTTATTTAATTTGTTTTTGTTCTCTTCAGTTTCATTTTTTGTCACTCATTTCGAGCCTTTCTTTTATTTTGTATTAAATCCCTTATTTTTTTGGGTAATTAATTTCTTATGTTTTTCCTTTGTAAATAATTTTGTTTCTGTATCCAAACCTTTCACACCGTCCTAATTGGGACATTTAATTCAATTTTTTCAAGTTGAAATCTTTCTCGGTCTGTATATGTTTGTTCGTCAGTGTAGGACTGAATTCTCTAAATATTTTCACATATTTTTAGGAGTATTACGAAGTAATCAGATATACTAGTTCTTTAACATCTATCTTTTAAAAATATAAAACTATCTGATCTAGTTCCATGCTATTTCTTTTTTATATAGAGAAATATTTAAAGGACATTTGGTCCAATCTTTGGTTGGTATATCAGACGATTTAATACAATGTCCGGTAACGATGTATCTTGCTTTCCAGTGAGCTTGTTTGCAGTTAAAAATAGAAATAGAGGAACTAAAAAAATCAACCTTTTTTCCAAAATGCTTAAAATAGTAGATTGAACAACACAGTTCAAAAATTGATTGATTTAACAAATATCCACTAGCAAGCTTAACCGCCAACATCTTTTGACTTCTTATTATTTATGTAGAAATAAATTTGATTATTGAAGTACATAGAAATGTTGCAGAATGACGCAACAGTTGTTGTTTGTCCTTGTTGTAAAGTTTTTATTGCTGCATTTAATTTAGATTTATACAGGTATAAATGTTACATTATGCTGTATTATTTATAAATATTACAAATACAAATCGGAGTGCTAGTTTT